GGTTTGACCTCCTAGCAGTAAACTCTAAGTAAACTTAGAGGGTGACAATCTTGGTTGGAGATGGGGGGAATTTCATTAAACCATCGTGGGAATGAGCCAATCCAGTCCCAATCCAATTTTCCAGAAACTCCTGTCCCTATTGTGTTTTAAATGTAGTCGTACTTCAAGTGTGCCACTTGGAGAGCCCCCTTTTTAGACAGAAAAGCTGAAGAGGGGCTAAGATGATGATTATGTTGTCATCAAGTCATTTTCAACTTCTAGTGACCAGATAGGTAGATTTTCTCCATGACAATCTCTTGCTAGCCTGGTCCTTCAGGTCCTCCAATGGTGCATTCAACACTGCTATAACTGAGTCCATCCCCCTTGCTGGTTGTGCTCTTCTTCCCCTTTCTTCCATCTTTCCCAGTATCAGAGCCTTCTCCAGACAGCTGGGTCTTCACATAATATGTCCAAAGTAGGACAATTTGAGCCTGGCCATTGGTGCCTTGAGTGAGAACTCTGGGTTGATTTGTTCGATGATCCATGGGTTTGTTTTCTTGGGTGTCCACGTTATTCTCAGGAGTCTTCTCCAACACCTATGTCAAACAGCATCAATACTCTTCCTCTCCTGCTTCTTCAAAGTCCAACTTTTGCCTCCATGGGGTGTCATAGGGAATCTCATGGCTTGCATGATTCTGATCTTTAAGAACCATACATAAAGTTGCATTAATCTGAAAATCTCATCAAGAATTGACCACTGAAACTTGCTATGAATTTCCCAGATTGAAAGTTGAAGTGATCTCCCTACTGTCAAAAGCAAAAAGACTTTTCAAATATTGGGATAATATTTCAGAACAATAGGTAACACATCTTTTCCCTGATGCCAGAGTATTTTTTTATTAAGCCTAGGAAGAAAACCGTCATCTCATGCCACCTTTCCAAAATCAATCTATCATTGTATTTTGGTGGTTTTGCTTTTGAGCAAGATGGAGGGGAGACCAGATAAAAGCTGTACAACAATAGTGCCCAATCCTCAGAGAAACTGATTGCACAATTAAATCCAGACTATGCAGGCAAATTTTGCATACAGAAAAAAACAACAACAACCCTCAACTGGAGTAATATTATTAGATTGAACCTAATAGCACTGGAATTGATTTTCTGAGGCCAAGTGCTACTTGGGGGTAAAATTCAGTACAGCCAATTCTTTGACATCTATACCATCAGATTTTCTCCACCTGTTGCCCTTGGGGTATATTAAAACTGCGTATCCTAGAAATCTCACCCAAAAGAATGGAAGGAAATTGCAGTCCCAACACATCTGAAGGTGCTGCTGTATAAAGAAGAAAGAGACAGGGCTAATTCCAGCTTCAGCAGCCCTTTGCCAGGCCTTCTTGGCGTGGTCCTGAGCTGAAAGTGGAAATAAGCAGCTATAAATTGCCATTTTAAATTTCCCACAATCCCCTGGCATAGAAAGATTCAGGGTATTCTGGGAAGTGATGCCATATCAGTGGGAAATTCTAAAGAACATCTGGCAGATTCAGAACAAGAGCCAGAGGGCCTTGGCAGCTGCCAGAGGAGTACATGCTGAAGCTAGTCCTCAAAAGACATCTCTGATGCCAAGACCATTTATTAGTTATAGACTCAGCTATCTAAGTCCTCCCCAAAGTAAAATTAAACTGAAGCAAAAGGCAAATATCTCTTATGCGCACTTACACAAATGAGAGATGCCTTCTGACAGGATCACTTTTCACCATAGTCTTTTTTGGATTATTCCTTGTTGATGCCTTGCTGAAAGTGATCAAATGTTGAAGTACTTCTTTATGATCCTTTTCTGGAAAATAACAAAATTTCCAGAAAGAAAGAAAGAAGACGGGTAAACTTATTGTTGATAACTATCTATTTAACTTGTAAAAATAGTCTTTCTTTTTAAAAAACAATTGAACCCTCTTTGCACCCAAGGTAAATTTGGAGGAAAATCTAGAGAAAAGTAGATGCTATTGGTTTTTTTTTTTTAGCGCAGACAAATGTTCACATGTATTTTAATAAACTGATGACATAACTTCATAAAAGATGCTGTCACTCTTTCTCCTGGCATCATTTCTCTGGCTCCAACAGGAATAACAATATTCAAACCCTCATGGGGTTAATAGTACAAACATAGCAACATTCTTTGCTCTTAGAGACAGTGAAATAATCTGATCTAAGTGATTTATGATATAATTTGGCTTCATTTGCACCTCAGATTAGAAGGTAAATCCAGCCTTCCCCTTTTGCAAAAAATAAAAATAAAAAATTGGGGCAGCAGGATATAAAATGCTTTTTAAAATGTGTGGTTTTAGAGAAAATATATTTAGCTTTTTAAAATAATAATAATCATAATAACTGCAGTTTTTCAGCAAAATCAGTTTTCCATTAGGGATTACCATGGTAATGGGAGGAACAGTTTTATACCTGCTATATGGACATATATGGCATGCATGGAAGTACATGGAAAAGTGGCAGAAAGATGAAACAAATTTGGTTCCATCCCTCCTTAAAAGATAATGTAATTTCAGTCACATCTTTTTCCTCGCTCATGTTTTCCTCACCTAGATAATCCAGCCTGCGTATTTTTCCTGGGAGAGATCGTGTGATCTAGAGCATGCTAGGGTAATGTTATTTCTCTGCACGGTTCTACCTTGAGAATGAATCCGCTAGTGTAAAACCTTTGCTAAGAAAACAGATCTTGTGTTTCATCACTGAGTTTTGATGCTAGATGGAGACCAAATATCCTATTAACTATCGTATTTGTCTCTCTCTCTCTCACCTTTCAGGTGCAAGTGGGAAGTACACCTCAGGACCAAAGAATTGTGGGATACATTTCCTGCACCCACTTGCAAGCTCTGGCAGGTAGCGTATGGAATTATTCTTTCAATCATCCTCATGTGGTGTGGGACAGGTTCTGTGGCTTTGATTTCAGCTGCAGAGAATGGGTTGGATCAGTCATCCCTTGATGACCTCCTATCAATGCCACACATTTTGGAAGTAAAAACGTTGCATGCTGGATTAGATTAAGGCTAAATACTCTGTAGAAGAAAGACGCCAAACTGGGTGGTGGCATCTAGTTAACCTTGCCTGGTCTTGGAAAGCTAAGCAGAATTCTTTTAAATACATTTCAAAATCAAATTGTTTCATGAAACAGATGAGGACAGATAGAAGTATTGCAGGATAATTTTCCTGCAGGCCATTAACATATATCCTGGTGTGCTTTAACAATGTAGAGTGATGGAGAAATGTGAGGGAAGACACTGATGGATGGGCATATGGATAAATGGAAAGAAGTCAGAATAGAGTAATTCATGAGGCCTCATTTCACTGTTACAACAGGCCTTGGCTTTCTTCAGTGGCTTTGCAAATTACTCTTCCGTATCTGACATAGCTGATTCTACCATATGGACCTTGATTCAAAGCAAGTTGCATCTTTCAGTAGTGCCATGTTTCCTAAACATCATGCAATAAACCAACATTGGCTTCTCTTTTCAGTATGCATTTGTCTTTTCTAATTGCCATGTGGAACTTCAGTAAAAGATAACCTGTTGAAAATCAACTTGTGGGTCTGGTTGGGTGGGAAATAATTATGTTTAATTATTTCTTGGTTGCACAAAAGTATCCAGAAAGAGTCTTGAATGACATTCGGGCGTAACCAGCCCTATTTCAATAACTAAAGTTGCCTTATCTCACCCACAGTAATGGAAGATAATCCAAATATTATATAAATCTTATCTCAAGATAAACAGGAGATCAACTGGTAAAGCTTTGGGATTAAGTTATAAATTGAAAGTTTCTTTAAAAAATGAAAACATTCAAAGAAACGACAAGAGGAAAGTCACTTGATAGAACAAGTATTTTTAGTAGGTACATCTAGTTTCTTGGTTTTTCAACATCTAACAAACTGTTGCCAAAAGTTTAATTTTTAAGAGCATGTCCTGTTCTGCATAAACTGCTGCATGTGGACCTGGAGATAACAGCATCAGGATTATTTTTTTTAAAGAAGAAGGAAAAATCTTAGTCGTAATTTTGTTTATCACTACTTTGTACTATCACATTTGGTCTATAAAACTTGGGAAAATAATTTGATTGATTGATTGATTGATTATGTGCCATCAAGTTGTTTTTGACTCTTGACAACCACATAGATGATGATCTGTCCCCAACTTGGTCCTTCAGCATTTCCAATGGTGCATCCATGACTGTAACTGGGTCCATCCACTTTGCTGCTGGTCATTCTCTTCTTCTCTTTCCTTCCACGTTTCCCAGAATTATAAATTTCTCCAAAGACATAGGTCTTTGCACAATGTATCTAAAGTAGGATAATTTCAGCCTGGTCATTTGTGCCTCGAGTGAGAACTCTGGGGTGATTTGTTCAATGATCCATCAATTTGTTTTCTTGGCTGTTTCTTTGTTTTCTTGGAAAACCATTAGATGAGTTTTCTTCATCTTTTACTGCTACATAGTGAACACTTAGCACTTTCCAGCCAAGATCTAGTAGCCCTAAACAAGTTTCCTTTATTGATTCAGAAAGGGTTCTCCAAAGAGCTAATCTTGGTTGTGCTTGAATTATTTTATTATAATGCATATACCAAATTTGTTATTTGAAAAGATGCCATGAGACTTCTGATTTAACCCACTAATACATTAGGAAGATCTTATTCCTTTGTCTGGTAGGCTACTAGTAGTTCACACATAGCACAGAATATGTTCACACAGAACATGCAAACTACTAGAAGGTTACACCCAAGATAGAAAACAGATGAGCAACAGCCAGCCTTCTGCCATTTAAATGAAGACTTTGGAGTATAGTTTCATCCATTTTTCCCATTGGTCACTTAATCAACAGAAAATTGTTCCTTTTTTATTTTTGCTAATAGTAACATAGAAGAGAATAAGAATGGGCAAAACATGTCATTCCAGGAACAGCAATGAGGGATTATGGAAAGTTGTATTTTGAAGAAACCACAGTGAAGGAGTGTTTAATCTTGCAGCCTTTTCTTTAAAAAATGTAAATTACTGAGATGCCTTTGAACTTGGGCTGAGTAAAGATAGACAAGCATTTCTCATGCAGTAATTTGGCATGGTAAAATAGAGACACATCTGGATTTTAATTCATGTTATGAAGCGGAGCAATGTGAAAACTTAACCAGTAAGATCCTATTAGGTGTTGTGCCACAGGTTATTGGTAGAGCATGCAGAAGCTAGGTTCATGCAGTACCTTAGACCAGGCTAAAATGGAGTCAGGTAATTTGTGCCACCAGACATACTGTTAAGTCCATGAACTGCAGTTTCTCATTCTGGCTTCTTGCAGTAACCTTTCTTGGTGTCTTGTTCAAACAACAGAGTAACCTATAACGTACTTACATTCGTCTTGGCTTAGTGTGTTACATGAATGCCATCACTGTGGAGTGTAAGCTGCTTAGTATATTGTGTGAGCCCAGTCAATAGTAATTTATTTAGTAAACCATGCTCTAGCCAATCAGGGCTTAGCATGCTCTGTGAATGCAGCCAGTGTTGATTGACTCAATTTGCTGAGAGTTCTTAAATCCATATCTCCTTGAGCTCTCATGTGTAAACCTCGAAGCATCTAAATTTTTCTCACCTAAAAGTACCTGATGGATCTTGAGTAGCACTGAACAATAGAGGGAAACTCAGCAATACGCTAATGAAAATATACTGCACATGTAATGTGCTTGCATGCTGATATTGGCGATTCTAAAGGAAGCCTTCCAAACCAACAGCACATTATCTTTGAATGATGGATGAGTCAAAGAAGTCAGGCAAGGACATTTACAGCGAGTCCCTCTGACTGGTTTGCTGGCAATAAATCAAACTCTACAAAGTAAGGGCGAACTACATAATGATGCAAACCTGGCTGGGCATGGAGACCTTGGAGGGTCACAGTTTGCCTGACTAGACAAATACATGCTTGCACTGAATCTGTCACCTGGAAAGCTATGGGTGTCAAGAGCCCATGTTCAGTTTGCATTTTGCACTAAGAGAGTTTCTCCCCCCCCCCCCCCCCACCTGGTTAGATTGCACAGAAGAATCTTTTGCATAAATGTTTTGCCTTAAGCAGGTTACCAATCCCAGCCTTCTTTTATTATCACTTTTGCAGACATATTAGCATTCGTTCTAATATTGGGTTGAATTCTGCCCTCCAATTTGCCAGAAGCTTTCTTCTCCTGTAAAAGAAGCTTTGATTTCTCTCCTTCGTTCTCAGGGATACTTTCAAAATAATGTGGACTTTTTTTTCCCCTCTGTAGTATGATTTAGAACAGATTTGACTGTTAAGAGACATTGTTCTCCTTCTGTAAACTCCCTGGTTGCCCATACTTCTCAGTCTGAAAAAGCCTCCTCTCCCCCCCATCAAAGCCCCAGAAGAAGTATCCACTTGATGTCTTCTCTAGGGATTGAGTGGGAGAATGGGAAGGAAATCTGGTGAAGAGAGAGAATTTTACAAGGAAGAGAGGAAAGGACATTCACACATACTTCTAGACCATCTAAGAGAAGTGGCAAAACTCCTCCTCCCACCCATTGTGTGTGTGTGTGTGTGTACCTTCAAGTCAGTGTTGACTCCTGGTGACTGGCTGGACTAATCCTTGCAGTTTTCTTGGCAAGATTTTTGGAAATAGTTGGCCCTTGCCTCCTTCACCCTAGGGCTGAGAGAGAGGGACTGGCCCAAAGTCACCCAACTGGCTTCGTGCCCAAGACAGGACTAGAACTCACAGTCTCCCAGTTTCTAGTCTGGTGCCTTAACCACTACACCACACTGATTTTCCCCGCCCATTAGAATTTTCCTATTTTTGATGAGAAAACAGTGTATCCATCTTACTGAATCAGCAGAGTTTAAAATATTGGTTTTTTGGCAGAGAATTCAATTCCCTTATGTTACCAAATGTTCATATTAGGTTGAGTACGTGGGAAATTGAGTTTATAAGCCTTTCCAGTTTAGAAAAATAAAGGTGCCTGGAATCAGAACTGGGACTTTTAGAACATTGTGAATAATATAGAAAATTAAGAGGCATTTCCCTTACTCTGCCATCTTAAATGCAAAGTCATCAGAAACACCAGGATCAGAAGTAGTTTCCAAGTAAACAAAAGGAACCCCCTTTTCACCCAACTTGTCATTAAAATTTCACAGCAAGGAATATCTAACCAATCTTGGGTGATTTCATAAAAGCTAAGTAGGGCCAAACCTGGTTAGTTCTTGGATGGGATATGGCCAGGAAATGCCAAAGGTGCAGGAAACACAAACAAAATGCTCTAAAGAGCAATGGAAAATTGTTTCCTTACTGTTGCCAAGAAAACTTCATATTCACATCCTTGAAGCCATCAAACCTTGAGCTCCAGTTAAGAGAGATTTTTACTTTTTTCTCAGCAAAGGCGGCCCATAACTAACTTTGTCTGGCTTTTGAAGGTAAGGAGGGTGGCATTTGGTTAGTACTTGGAAAAGAAGGGACAAGAAATTCCAGAGCTATAGACTAGATTGGAAAGTCAGAAGCCCCATTCAAGAAGAAGACTACTTGAACATTCCCGCCAGGAGTCAAATTGGGCTCACAAGAGACTTGACGTGACTTGTGATTGAAATTATGGAATTTGCTGTCACAAGATGGGTGGTTGGTATCTTTGGTGACTAAGATTAGTTAGACTCCACAACAAAATCAGAATGCAGATCACAGGAACAGAAGAGAAGTTGGGCCTTTCTGTCATTTGTGATGGAAGACTAGTTCCGAGTCTTCTTAAATGGGTTCCTAATTGGTAGCCGTTCCATCAAGTGCCCTTGAATTATTTCCATCTTAGCTGGACATGATAGCTTTAAGAACAAATGCTTGGGATGGCTTGCTTCCTCCTTTCTCCACATTCCCTTTCCTTTGCACATCATATCTTTTCAATTGTAATCCCAGGAGCAGTGACAGTTTCTTCTGCTGCCTGTTAGTGGCTCTGAGAGATGCCTGAGTGGGGTAAAATAAGCACACAGCATATTTATGGACCTTCTACCTGGTCTGAGGGGAAGAGCACCTGGGAAGTTTTAAAGATGATGATTAGAGCAGCTTTCAGCCAACCTACAAAATGCCCCACTTCTTAGATATTCTTTTGGCCACTTCTCACCACGTGTAAATAGGAAAACAAGCAATTTTTGGAGATCAGCCATGCCCTCTTGGCACTAGTATTAAAGGGTGCCAGAGCCAACAATAAGAGTAGAATACAAGAAAGGCAAATCCAATTGAAACTGTCATATTGCTTCCAAGTTATTTTAATTTGGATAGAATCAATTGTTCCTTGAAGCCAGCAGATTGTCTGTTCAATACATCAGATCCCTATTATAGAAGAGCATTTACACTAGCAAGTGAAAAGAATTACCCCATGGTGGTTCTATCTGAGGAGCTGAGGAAAACTCTACATCATAACAATTCCTGTGGTTCTGGGAAGGTTGACCCCATAGAATATGTCCTCCTAGATTCTACAGTGGCAAGACCAACAGAGTCCCGGTAGCATTAGGGATGCATGGAAGGGCTTGTCCTGGGGTAGTAACCTCCCATTCCCCGTTACTGAATTTTGAAAGAAGTTGCCACAGCATTCACCCATCATCCATTCTCTCTGCTTAAAATTTGCTGCTCTTTTTTTTCCATTTGGAGACAACTCAAAATGCACTGAACCCCTGTTCAACACCATTTCAGACAGGAGCTTTTTAGAAGACCTTCCTGGAGATACTGGGAATTTCAGCTGGGGCCTCCTACATGCAAATCTTCTTTTTGAAGCAAGACACGGCTCTCCAATGAATATTTAATCACCTTTAGTCTTTGATTCCATCTGTAATTGGCTCTCTGTTTCTTGTTCCAGTCCCACTTATTTATACTTAGATTTCTCCAGGTACCCATCTAAAATTTATACTGGCTTGCTTTATGATCAAAGGTCAGCTGGGGATGGCTGGATAAAGTTTTTCTTTTTTAGCAGATGCTGGTTAACTATCATTACTGCTCCTGCCCCTGAAATATCTTTAAATACCAGTAGCCAAGGAAGAGGCTAAACCCAGCTTTTCACATTTCAGGCAGGAATCCTCTTTCATACAACGATAGCTACATCTGTAATGATTCTTTTCTTCTCGCTGAATAGCAATAACTGTTATCTGCGGTGGAAAATCAGAATCTAGAGCTAATTAATATCTGCTGCTATCCAAACCATTTAACTTGTCATAGGAAAAAAAAATGTTCTCTGGGTTTTGGTTAAATGGTGGAATCGGAATCAGAAAGATGCTTCAGCAAGGAACTGTGGCTGGCCATTTTAGAATATTAAAAATGTCATCCATTATCCTTTGCCATGCTTTTAAAACAGCCCTTATTCAAATACGGCTGCGAATTATACATATTAATATTTTGTCAAAAAAAGAAACGAGTTTTTTAGAGCATCATTTGGGTAATTATTAACCAATTGGTCATGAAGTGTGTGCATAGGGAGGGGAGGGAAAACCTGTCATCCCTGAGGTCATCCATTACTTTGGGGTCAGGTATCAGCGGTACACTGATAATATCCAATGTTATATTTTAGTCCAAGGCCAACCAAGTGATGCTGTCGAAATCCTGTCTCAGTGTCTGGAGAATGTGTGCATCCGGATGGGGAAGAGTAGACCTAGGGTCATCCTTGACAATACTGAGTGGTTGTGGATTTTTTTTTCTCCAGCCCTCCACCTCTGGGGATGTTCTGTCTTCCATCTTTGGTCTTACGCTTCCCCTTTCAAGACTGGTGTGAAAACTGAAGGTCCTCTTGGACTCACAGGTTCAGCTTGAAGAGCAGGGGGCAGCGGTGGCCCAGAGTACTCCTAGTGCACCAGTTGTGCCCTTTCGTGGACCAGGAGGCCCTTCAGATAGCATTCACTCCTTAGTCACCTCTTGAATGGATTAGTATAATGCACTCTACATAGGGCTGCCCTTGAAGAACACTAGGAAGCTACAGCTGGTCCAGAATGCAGCAGTGCAGGCAGTCTTGGCCATGCCTCCTTATGGCCATGTGACCCCACCACTCCCTGAGCTGCACTGGTTACCAGTCCTGATTATCATCTATAAAGCCCTTCATGGCATGAGGCCTGGTTATTTGAGAGGCTGTGTTCACTGGTTTCTGCCCAGCTGGAGCAATCAGGCAGAGTTGGTGTGCTCCAGGTCCCAACAATCAAGCCGTCTCATCTTATGGGACCCAGGAATCACTGTGGTGGTGCCTGCTAGCTGCAGTAATATCCAGGTGGCTCCCACCATGATGGTTAGTAAGTCAGGAAGTTAGTAGACCTGGCTACTCTACCAGGCTCTGAGGTAGCGTGAAGGTTGAGCTCTTGTTTGATGAGTTTTCTTTGATTACTTGTGGTTTCGGGGCCATTCATGAATTTTGTGTGTGTGCGTGTGTTGTATCTTTTTTACTTTTCATTGTAAGCCACCCAAAGTCATTGGGAATCAGGTGGCCTATAAATTGTATAATAAATATACACATGAGCTGTGATTTCTGATGTGGTTAAGGATGTAAATGTAAAGTTTTGAAATAAACTTAAAAAAAATGTAGGAGATTTTTTTTCCCAGTTAAATTTAAAAAGGCAAAACTTTGGAGAAAATATATGCACGATTAATTTACTTTTCAAATCTAACTTGGGGCAAATTCAGACAATCAAGGAACCTACCCTGAAAATGTGGAGAAGCTTTAACATCCGATAAAAGCAAATGTTTAGGAGTTAGGACAAAGGGTTTAAATTCATCTAGCATGCAAATAAGTCACACAGCCTTTGGCAAATTGCTGTCCCACTGATATGTTGGAACTGTATCTCCAAATAAATTTAATCCAGCATATCCCCAATCAGGAATGCAGCCAATTTTACTAACTATTTTTCAGGGCAGATTTCTGATCTAGCAGGCTTTTCACTCCATTTCTTTATCATTTAAAAAGAAATAAGAAAAAATGGCCACATTGTTTAGGAACGGAATGGGTTGTGGTTGGACTTAATACATGAATTATTTTAAATGGTCAAGTATCTTTCCTTTTTCTACCCTTTAAAAGTAATAATGCCACATAGATTTACAGGAGTCAAGGATTATTTTCACAGGCTGTTTCTTTTTTCAGCACTTCCTAGACCAACCAGGCATAATGTTTTAATATATTTTACAGAACGTTCACATTCAGCTGTCTTTTTATTGGTTTGGCTATTTATTTAAATAACTACCTAGCATAGTAAACAATATGCTAGGCTAAGATAATATGGAGCTAAATAGTTTTGGGTTCAGTGTGTGTGTGTGTGGGGGGGGGCCATACGCTGTCTGAGCATATTGGATGAACCAGACCATTAACTCAAGCTAAAATGTGCTTTATCTTTTTCAGCGTATCATGTTACATGAGCAGAGCAATTGTGTTTCATTAAGTTAGGTTTAGGGTTAAGCATGCTTAACATATTCTTACTATGAATAAAGGCTTGTTCATGTTTGAATTGCATTAAACAGTCTGGTAGCATCATCATCGTTGTCATCATCATCGAAAAAGAATAGCAAAAGCAAGAATAAAAATGGCAAAAGAAAGCAAAAATAGTACCAATAGTCATAAGTGCCTTGGGTGCAATCCCAAAACATCTGGAGCACCACTTGAACACCATCAGCATTGACAA